TTTTATATACCAATTCTGCAATTTGATTGGCTGATTTCCGACCATTTATCATGTGATTTTTTCAAATCCGATAACCTATACAGAACCCATCCACCATGCATACCGGTTTTGAGAGGGCCAACAGTAACACCTAAAAGATTTTACATTCCCTTTTTTTTTAAATAGTGTATCAGAGTCTTTACGCCAAAGGCTCTAGCAATGTTCGAAAAGAGTCAAGGAAACGATCTATTTCGTTACAGGAGATCATCGTTATCCTATCATCGCTTTTTTAATCGTAGAAGTAATCTTAGATTTACTCTAATTATAATATTACTCGCTGTCACCATACTGATCATTACCATAAAACCTCGATCTTATTCTGATCCTCGTGCATTGCCTGAATTAAGTGGCTCATTAGATTCTGACCCTTTAACAACTGATACCTCACAACTAACTTGGAAAATCAATCTGAACAAAAAGCTTAACTCAAGAACAAGTTTTTATAAACCTGAAAATTTTACTAAAGACGCTTTAAAAAGGAATAACCTCATTCCTGTAACCGCAATAGTGTTGGGATGGAAACGTACTGAAAGTTTAAAGGTAGTGGTGAATTATATTTCAAAATATCCTTATATAAAAGAAATATTGATATGGAATAATAACAATGGAACAAGGCTTAATGTCGAGGTAATGGTGACACCTATTGATTTATTTATACAATTGTTAAAATAGAATAATTGTTAAAATACTATTTAAAATCCCCCCAGGAATTCAAACTCGATAATATGAATGTCGTTTTGAATGTGTTTAATTCTGATGAAAATCTTCATGATCTTTCTAAATACATGACATGTTCTATGGCTGAATATGACTATTGTTATTTCCAAGATGATGATTGGTTAAACTTATATATGGACAGTATTTACACTAATTTCCTCAGAAACCCTAGTCTAATTCATACAAACACAATGCCACTCATTCATTTAGAAGATCGAAGATGGATGTTTTCTAATAAAGGTAAGTTCTTGATTGTGCTATTATCAAGTTTAATGTTATTAATATATTTAATTCATTCATATAGTGTCTTGTTTTAGATAAAAATCTTCATACCGGTTTCACTTGGCTCGGTTGTGGTTCTTTTATTCCAAGAGCAAAAGTTCAAAGGTTTATGGGTCAACTTGGTTATATTTCATTACCAAAAGATCACCTTCAAGTTGCTGATATGTACTTTTCTTTGTGGTCAAATCAATATCCTTATCAACTTTCTAATCCTTTAACACCATTGGATCAAGATCACGGCTGGAGTAGTGGCATTGATCATTGGTCCGTGGTTTATAGTAATATTGTAATGTACTTCTGAAAATTTATATATCTATATTTTTTTTGTTAATTCCATTAATGTCTCTTTCTTATCTTTCATTTATTAATATTCTTAATTCCAATTTTATTAGCTTGACGCGACTCAAAAATTATATACTACACTGGCCCTCAAACCAGATTCTGACTTGTTTGAACGCGTAGAAGAAACTCCTTATTATCACGAACGTGACGTTAGGTACCTTTATATTATTTAATATCATTTCCAATCTTATTTCTATTGTTATTTCTACTTTCTTTTTGCTTTCGGTAAAGTGTAATAATGAAGATGGCGAAATATATCGACTTCTCGCGGAAGGAATCGTTG